TATATATATATATATATATATAATACATAGTTAGATTAAACTTAGATCTGTCATTTTCTTTAAGTACCTCAATAATAAAATAAAATCAGTACATGTTATTTTTCAAAACGTTTTTACTCTTACACCAACTTAAATTAAATTGTTTACATTCAACAGGAGGACTCTTTCAATTCTAAAAATATTAAACTATGGCAAAAAAGGGAGAAACTAAACTATTTTTTACTAATACTGCCTTTCTGAGGGCAGATTCAAAAATTACTATAATCCTGCCATTCTTAATATTATTCTATATATATATATAACTGGCTATTTATTTACAGCCTAACACACTTATTACCAATAGAATATGAAACCATAATAATAAAAGTTCAACTCTTAACACCATCGCAGTCTCAATTATTATAAACATAATAAAAATCAACCAGTTCTCTTACACTCAGTACACACATCTTAAAATATACTGCTCTGGCAAGAGGCAAATAAATGCACAGAATACCCTACTGTAAGTTAAATATTAAAGCTTTTTACAGTTGTTTTAAAGATGAAACATGTAGATCAATTTATAGTTCAGACTAATCAATTCTATTATATGACCTTGGACAAAATAGTTGCACAGGTCAGTGACATTTCACACCTTGTTAAATGGATTGTATTATTGTGAATAAGCAATATACATGAAATTTTTCAGGAAGTGTATTTTCTTCCTTCATAAAAATTCAGAAAATGCCTTAGAAAATTTTAAACTTGTATGAAACACATATCATATATGTTTATTACTTTCACTCATTTATTCTGGTTGAAAGGACTACTTTCATTCATTTGCCCTAGTTGGAAAGACACCACTGAAAATAAATTGTTCTTGCAATAAACATGAAACCAAGAAGGAAACTGTTCATAGAATGTCAAAGTTTCTAAGGAAGGTATGAACGTTAACGTGTTCTTGCAATGAAAATGTATTTTCAATAGGTACTTACCTCCTCCCACACAAAAGGCTATCTCAATCATTGACTGCCCTCTAAGCATTGATAGAATAATTTTAGTAATCAGTGCACCAGTCTTTATACCTCAAAAGTTTTGCACCATTTCTGGACATCTATATATCATGTGACTACTTTCCACCAATAGTACTGCACAACCTATAACAGTGCAACTAGCTCCTATTGCTATTCTTGCTCAATCCTCACTTTCCAGAATTGGCAGAACTAGAACAAAATCACTAGTTTTAGTGGGGAGGAAGGGTGGGAAGTGTGTGACTGGAGGTAAGTAGCTATTAGAAGTACATTTTCAGTGTAAGAAAATATTAACTTACCTTCTCTCACACAAAAGGCTAGTACCACACATTGCAAAGGTGGAGGGCCGGTGGAGGCACACAAAGAACCAACCAAGTGGAAAGCTACTGCCCAGAATGCACGGTTGCACTTGGAGATAAATTGAAGCACACCTGTCGGGTACCACACTACTTCTGGAGTAGGTATGCTATTTGCCCATAAATTGGGAAAGTAACATAAAATGGGCAGAAAAGGTAATGCTTGCACAATTGTAAGAGCATTAAGAAGGTGCAAGCTGTATGAATATATAGCAAGATAAAAAAAAAATTTAATAACATCAGGTGACTAGGTCATGTGAACCATGTTAATGATACCCAACAACCCCAACTGTAAGTAACGGAGTGCCGTACGTCAAGCAACTGGAAATACGAAGAGGTAGTGAGCAAATGGTCGTAACTGGACAAAGTCCCAAAACCACCATGGGAGCAAGAAGTATGACAAAACATTACAGGGTCTTGGCATTGCCTCAACTCAACCATAAGAACAGGGAAAGCTGTAGCCAATATTACAGGCAAAATCATACCTCATTCAACTGTAAATGTAGGGTAGAGACATCCTGTATCCAGAATTATGAGGAGGACAAGCAGCATTCACCCAACCATAGGAACAGAGTAAAGAAGTCCCATTCCCATTACCAGTATTACAAAGTCTCTCAAACCCAACTCTAGAAGCAGGAAAGAATCTTCTGCAATTGGAATTAACGAGAACAGAGGCACCTACTGCACACAACCATATGAACAGGGCATTGTCATCCTGAACTTAGAATTATGAGGAGGATCTTATGTAGGCTGGCCTCAAATAATACTTGATCATTGGTTTTATTGAGTGTGGTTCACCTCGGCAGAAAACATCCAGGCTGGCCTCAAATAATACTTGACCATTGGTTTTATTGAGTGTGGTTCACCTAGGCAGAAAACATCCAGGGGAAGTGTCAGTAGGAAACTAGCTTTGCCCTCTTCTCCTGAGTGGATAAACGAACACAAGGATAGTAACACTCAGGCGGAAGCCTCCATGGTCCATCACCCCAGCAACTGGGAACTGAGAGTGGTAAGGAATCCCATGCTCCACTTGAAAAAAAAAAAAAACGGGTGGTGGTAAAAAAGGCAGCAGGGAGTCCAGAGGAATGTCACACAGGAGACATTTCCCTATTTTGAAAAGCAGACCAGACCTAATTAAGGAATCCAAAGGTAGGCAGGGATGTGCAGAAATCCCTTTCTACTATATTCATGAAGCCCATGAGTGATGGTCCACTAAAGATATAATTAAAATACATATATACACATACACCACCGAGAAAGTGCCCAGTGGTTTTACAGAAACACCCCATCTCAACTTTGAGCATTATATACTTACTGCATTTAGTGCAGGTTTGAGACAAAGCAACACCTGCAACTACGTGGGAACCCGAAAGAAGTTTAGGGAAGATGAAAAGAAAACATAAAAGAAAGGAAATGAGCAGACTTACCCAGTTAGAGCCAAATGGCCATGTGCACCACAGGAGAAAGACGATATCCTTCAGAGGAAGAAACAGCCAGATTGTGCAGATAATGATCAACAAAGGTATTGAGAGTTGTCCACATACCAGCCTGGTCCATTTCTTCCCAGGGGAGGCAAAGGTGACCAGCCAAAATCATGGTAATGTGATGAATTTGATGTGAAAAGACATTGTAGAGAGGGCGACCTTCCATGTCCAAATTGCGATCCTAAAGAGTTGATGTACCCAACCAGTGCGAGTTACAGCAGACAGATCACAGGAAGCAGAAAGGTTCCAAGGAATAATTAGTTGAAAACATGAACCCCAAAAGGAGGTAGTACAAGCCATATAACACCTCAAGGATCAAACCAGACATAGAAGCCTATCTGGATTGGAACATGAGTACAGGTGGGAAATGGAAGGTAAGAAAATGGGTGAGAAACCACGTTTCTGGGTCACATAGGTCTTAGGCAGGATGGACTGGTCAGGGTAGAGGATCACAAAGAGGAATGATAAAGCATAAATGTTAATGGCATAAATATTGAAACAATGGCATCCACAGGCAAGGAGGAGAAGGAAATATGGCTTAAGGGAAAGATGGTACAAGGAACACATAGCAAGTGGTTCACAGGGAGACATGGAGGATGAGCAATACAGAAAGAACTGAAAAATAGGGGGGTGATGGCAGGGCAGAAGAAAATGTTAAGGAATTGGGAAAAAATAGACGGTGTTCAATAGAGCCACCTGACAACTAGACACATCTGAAACAAAAAAGTCCTGGTCAAACAACCAAGTGAAGAGTTGAAAAAGCTGAAGTACAGGAGGAATGATAGCCATAGCGAAAATACCAGCATTGGAAGGTAAATGGTCAAAAAAGAAGGTCTGATGGTTCGGAAAAGGAAAGACTCTATGCGAGGAGTCGGTCTCTGGACTGTGGAAAGGTACCAAATGAAAACCAAGCAAGAAGATGGAGAGATCAAGACAGAGGTAAGGGCAAAGAACATTTCACAAGTAAAGGCCAAAGCAGAGGGAACCAAGGCTGTGCAGGGCAATACAAACCAACCAGCAGGATGCAACAAGTAGTAGTCTGGATGAGGACAAAACTTTGGATAAGAGATGGATTGGAAAGTAAGCACAAATGTAAAAACCTATCCAATACTCACTGAATGCATCTACACCCAGAGCTGATGAGTGTGTAATGGGAGACCAAAAGGAAGGAAGTTTGGTGTTCCAGTGTGTAGCAAAGGCATTGACAAGCAATGCCCCCCAGTTTAAAACACACCCACTGAAAAACCCGTAGATGAAGAGACCACTCCATGGGGAGAACCTGGTTCGAACAAGATAAATGATCTGCAACCAGATTCATGGCTTCAGGAAAATGCCATGGCAAGCTAACCCCTCCATGTTGTGATCGTGGGCTCAGAAAAGAAGATGCGGAGCCCAGAAACACAGAGATCTGGATTTGATTCCAACTTGCTTGGTGATATAATCAATGCCCGTGAAATTGTTGGAGTGGACCATAACCACCCACCCCCATAGAAGTGGAAGGAAATGAGTCAAAGCCTGATAGACTGCCAAAAGCTCAAGGATGTTGATGTGGAGTGCAGACTCATCTACAGAACACAGACGAGAAATTTCTTGAGAGTTCAGGAAAGCTCCCACCCCACCAAAGATGTAACTCTGGAAAGAGGTGGAGAAATGGGAACCTCCACCGTGGTCTGATCCCTGTTGAGCCACAAAGCTAGGTCCACCTTGGTAACAGAGAAAGGTAATAGGATAGTTAAGGGATAGAGGGAGAAGTTCCACTGATCAAAAAGTGTCCACTGAAGTGAATGCATATAAGCTCAACACATAGAAATGAGAGCTTCTAAGGAAGCCCACATCCTCAAAAGAGATAAAACCTCTCAAACTGTGAGAATAGGAAAGGTAAGGGCTTTTGTGACTGCCCGATCCATATCCCAGAGATGAAGAGGAGAAGGCTGGACCTGACTGAGGAGTGAATTGAAGAAAAATCCCAAGTGAACTAGGTATTGAGTGGGGGTAAGAATAGACTTCTCCTGTGCTGCTTCCTGTAGAAGCAAATGTGTGTGATTCACTGATTGCGAATGTGAGCAGGAGCCAGTCATCCATATAATGATGATTGCAGAAACCCAGTGAGTGGAGGTGAACCACTCAACAAAACAAAGAAGGAGCTGAAGAGAGACCAAAGAGCAGTGTCCTGAACTGGAACACTTGAACCTCGTGGCTGAACCAAAGATAACAATGTGACTCTGGAGCAATGGGAATGTGAAGATAGGCCTCAGTCATGTCGAATTAGGTCATCCAGAGTCCTGGGGAAAACACCCACCAAAGTGAGAGATAGGACTCCATGATGAAGTGAGGTGGCTCCAGAAAGGAATTCAGCCAGGACAGATTGATAATTGGTCTCCAATCGTCCATTTTACTGGGGATCACAAAGAAACGGGAATAAAAACCCAGATGTATGGGAACCACCTGCTCAATATCTCAAGAACGACCTTGGCAACATGACTGAGAAAGGAATGATCCTGAGAAGGGGGAAAGGGGTGGGAACCAGAACTGAAGGCTAAAATGTTACCACACAGTTCAATAGCGGAGCAACCTGGCCCCCACGAGACAGGGAACCTCTGCCATGTCACTAATAATGCTGGCATCTGTCCAAACGGGCACAAGTAAAATGAGGATAGGGACAGGTATGCCTTGAGGAAGGTAAAGGACGGGGTGAGGAAGAAGGAGGGCAGAAAACCAGGATAGGCAAATCATGGGAGGTTACAGGAGGACAAGACAAATATGTGGCTATGGAGAATAAGGAAAAATGTAACCTAGCTACATCAATCTGGAAGACCCCAATGATGGAATCACAAAGAAAATGGGCCTGTTGGGGATATCTTAGGGAGGAAAGAGGGAGACAAACCCCTTCCAGTAAATCATCCTTCCCTAATAAGTCCTAACAGCATAGTAGCCTTGTATTGAGAGAAAGGGCAGAGGCAGATAAACGAGCCATGATGGTCCAAAGGAGGGTCCTGAGCTCTTCTGAAATGACATCAGGAGGTTGACAAAAGGCTTAATATGTTAAATGGACAGAGGAAAGGTAGCATAAAGTTCAGTTAGAGAAAGTTGAATCCTGGAAAATTGTGCCTGATTGAAGCAGATACAATCCCCAGGATCTGAGCCCCACAGGAGAAGAATCATAGGCTATAGGGGAAACACCTAAAACATGACATATCTGACTGACAAGCTGTAGGAAAGGAATGGGAGGTGAAATATCCTGAACGAGTGTAGACTGTGATGGATCAAAAAAGGAAGGTGCCAGAATAATGAGAGTCCAAACTTTCTTCCTTGTGATAGTAGGTCTCTTTAGAAACATGATCTAGTGGATGAGGAGGAAATCGGCTCTCCACCTGTGCAATGTGGGGTACTAGCCTTTTGTGTGAGAGAGGTAAGTTAATATTTTCTTACACTGAAAATGTACTTCTGCATTCGTGAAAAAAAGATCTACTTAATTTAGAAGACATACTATTCATAATGAATTTCTAAAGAAGTTAAAACTAAACATGAATGATACTCAAATGCTCATTTCTCATTAAACAAAAACATATCCAACTGTAGTAACAAACCTCAATTCTTACCAGAAATTGATTTAGTTTGTGAAATTTTTTATCATAATTTTTTATATAAAACAGAATACCTTACAAGCATAAAGGTTGATCCCAAAAAGCTTACAAGCAGATTGTTTTTTTCATTCAATTCAGGTTGTACAAGTAATTCTTTTTATTAACAGTTAAACAGAAAGATTTAGTTCATTCTTGTGGCTAAAGCAGTGTACATCTTGTTGTTGTTTAAGAAACATTAGAAATTAGAAAACTACAAATGAAACAGAATCAACATTAATCTACTTTTAAATCTTTCTTTAATACTATAAAACATTTGTTGAAAAGGAGTTTTATCAAGGATTATGTCTTTATATTTTTTAAAAGACATTCTAACAGATTATAACATTTGCCTTAGAATAATTAATGTACTGCACCTCATGTATATAAAACGAGTAATGAACCATGGACCCTGTTACACAATTTTGTGCTCAGACCATGGGGCATGATTGGCTTCATGATCCAGGTGAACAAAAGCTCTTTCCACTTCAGGTAGCCTCTCAATCTTATGCTGGAGAGATTCCCCAATGTCATGAGATTCTTTTAATGTAAGCTTTTCTGGAAGAACGATGTCCACTTCTACTAAAAAATTGTTTCCAAAGTGAAATGCCCGTACAGTGTCAATCAGCAAAACTTTTTGATGATGATTAAGTGCAATCCAAGTAATCTTCTTAAGGAATTCTGGACGAGCCGTGTGGCCAGTCAGCATTTTGATTTGTTCTAAGAAAGAATATAATATAAGTAACTAATTCACCTATTTCTGGTAGCATATAACTTATAATATTCACTGAAAGTCATTATTGTATTTTGAAATTTCTTAAATGATATTTTTGAATTTTGTGAAGGACTGAATAGTTAGGGTAGCTCAAGAACTTAGTATTTTAAAATTACATATAAAAAAAACTACATTGGGTAAAATCAAAAGATATCCTGTTTGTTTTTTTCTCCTAATGAACATCTGCAAATTCAGCTTATGTGCTAAACAGTGTGCCCCAATTATCTCTCTTTTTTCAGACTGTGCCAACAACTACATATCTTAAATCTCTTTCACTACACCACTATCACATCCAGTTACAATTGCTATCCCATCTGTGCCAATTCTAGCTAGTTCACAATAATTCAGTCCTTGGCTTCTACGTATATTCTATTATACAACTTTTAATACTTGTCATGTATTAAAAGTTATGCAAGTTTCAGTATCCTCAGAAAGCACAACTGTTAACTATCTTTTGTGTCAGTACATTGTCACAAAAGAGTGAATCACAATTTGCTCAACAGTTTCTACTGTGCTACACATTCTGGGTCATGATCACAGAACATAATCCAAACAACTTAATCAGCTGGCTGGGAAATCTGTAATTTTATTCCCAGAACCATATTAGCAGTTGCTTTATCATTTTTATTACATCATTCTCTGTAATATCATGGTCATTCCAACAAATCATCCAGTTGGTATTCTGACTTTTCATTTCAGAATCTTATTATTCCCAGTATAAGTACACTATATACTTTCTTAAGTTGTGCTTCATGAGCTTTATGTTTGTCAAAAGGCCATCATTATTACATTTAGTGTTCCAGCCTCAACCACAAAATATTTGTATTCATTACTACTACTTGTATTATTTTTCTCATAAGTGGGCATAAGAATCTCACCTGTAACTCACCTAGTGAGTTTTGCATTCTAGGCTTGAATAGGACTAATGTCAGACTTCAATTCTGTTTTTGACTTACAAGTCAGTGGAAATATATCAACAACCTTTACAAATAAACTAAGTGCTTTCATTTTTTCATTTCTTTTATTCAAGCACTCAAAAAACATTAAGCAAAAGTGCCAGAAACCTTACTTCAGTGTTGTTCATTGTGGCTGATTCCCGATATTGTTGGACAAAAGTGTTAATACTACCTTAATAATGTCTTGTTAACAATACTGTTCTAATTCAGCAATTACGTAGAGTGTGGTAATCTATATTAACAAAAGAATAATGATTTACTCATACATATTAATACATCAGTAAGATACAGAGCCAATTTTATAAAACTTTAATAACCTAATGAAAATTGGAATTTCATTGCAACAATTGAAAATACTATGCAGAAAGTCCATGGGATACAGAGTACAGAAAATTTTATTATTAATAAGTAAATGTAAAGTCTAGTAAAGGTATGAATTTAACTAATTTCTTTATATATATTTTTTTCAGTATATGGTCTGTTACCTTTCCTAAATGTTCAATCTCAGCTTTCCGTTTGTTTCTTAGTATTCGACAAGTTCAACCTTTTTGTTTGTGAGAAGTTACAAAAATGGCTATCTGCACATAGCCATCCTTAATTTTTAATTGACAGACTAGAGGGAAGGCAGCCGGTCAACAGCACCTACTGACAAGTCTTCAGCTATTCTATTGAAGTAGTGAGATTTGACCACCAATCTTATAATGCACTCATGGTCCCAAAGCATGGAGTACTATTTTTACCTAACAGATGGAGAACCATGGGTCCTCAGATCCAAAATCCAGCAAGCTAACTACTAGTGTTAAAGTGTGAAGTTAGGAGTTATTGCAATTAATGGATTAGTTGTTTAACAAATACATACTGATTCATCTATTTTTGAATATTACTTATGAAATCATCCAGGGATCAATTTTTTGAACTTTATTTATTTGATATAAAAATGATGTAGATAAAGTATTAAAGATTTTAAAATTTCTTGTGTTTGCATATGATACAAAAGTCTTTAATATCAGAGAAAATTTAACTGATGTAGTAAATAAACAGAGAGAAACAAGAGCTTGGTAAATAGTTTGCTAAGAACAAACTACCATTACATGTAAAAAAGTGAACATAATAATAGCGAAATGACTTGGAATGAAGGTATTAGAATAACTAAGCCAAAAGTATCAAAGAATTTGAAATTTTACTGACACAGTGAACTGTTTTATATTTTATATTGCACTTTAATATTGCTTTACTCAAACTACTTCTGTGAAGTTTGGGGAGTGAACATGTACAGAATTAGATTAGAAAATTCATATTGCTTTCAAAAGCAATGTTTTATATGTAATGTGGATTATGATGGACATACAGCACCTTTTCTTAGCAAACTTACAACTAACTATTATGGTTATTATTGAACTAAAAACCATGTTAATTTTGTATAATTCTCTTAGCAGAGTTTTACCTGTGAATATACAATCATACATTGTTCCTTACGAGTGTAACTATAACAAAACACAGTTTAACAATTTTCAACATAAATTTGTTCGAACAAGCTTAACTCTTTCAGCATGGGCTCGGTCCCTGTGACTGACCTCATAACCATTTTGTGCTTGTTATAGTTTTCATGCTATAACTTTTAAATTAGTAAGCGAATGTTAATGAAGTTTGGCAGATTATCAGTAAATACTACAATGCTCTCAATGCAAAATATCTAATTTTTTTTATTAAGCCATAAGGTCTGTAAAGTAATGTTTTTCTCAGGTCTTTTTTTTTCTTATCCCATGTTGCATATCTATCATGCAAAGTAATGTTAATTGTAATATTAAAAATACTTTTATGCATTAGAAAATTTTGAAATTTCACATGCGAAATCTTTATAATGTTGAGATAGTTACCAAATATTTCTTAAGAAAAAAACTTTATATTTTATCTGTTAATTTCAGTAATGGATTCGGTAGATTTGACCAATCTTGCAACCACCATAAAAAAATTAGGAAATAAATATAAATTATGCCTCTTTCATTTCAGAATGAACACGAAAACATAAATGTTTAGCCAAAATAGTTTAAATCTCATAACATTTATTAATAATAATAATACTTATTATTTTTATTATATTGACCTTTCAGCCGTGCCTGGCTTACAATACCGAAGTTACAATGATGCAGCTCACATGCACTACTGTTACCATATCAAATAACATAAAACTGACCTTTGGTCTGTGCAAAGTAACTTGTCTTGGCTGTGTTTTAGTAGACTAATATTTTGTAAAATACAGTCACATTTCAATTATTATACATTATATATGTATATAGATTATTGTTAATTTGAAATAAGTTCTTAAACTTATTTTTCTTAAAACATAGAACAGTAACTAAAGATGTAAAAAAAACAATTATCTCTTCTAGTTACGACCTTTGTATTCAGTTGTTCTTTGACATAGGTTGCTAAGCCTTTAAACAATTTGCATGTGGAGGATAAGAAACAAAATATTTTTTAGGTTTTATATATACAGTTGAATAACTAAAAAATCATAAATTACTATATTAATACCATAGAATTCCCCTATAATTTATCAAGCTTAGTAACCAACATGTATTTTGGTCTAAAAAATATGAAATTTCAAGCAGACTAAAGACGCACCCTACCTCCTTCAAATATTGGTTCAAAAGAAAGAAATGGCATCCAAGCCCATTAAAATGGCTGAGAAAGCCACTAGGGGGACATCTTGAGCTTCCAATGGGTTATTCATGTCATATATAGAAGTAAGTTGGCAGGGTGCCACTGTGTTTGATTTATTACATG